AATAAAATCTTAAATCAATTCTAACCAAGCTCTTAACAAATGTTAAATCCTATAGAAAATTAAAATATCAATAATTAATGGGTGAATTATTGATTTTATTTCAAAAAAAAATAAATTTTTATTAACTAATTTTCGAACAAGAAAAAAAAATTTGAAGAAGATCAATCATATGAAATAGAAGACAACTTCTAAAATCCGCTTGGATATTGACTAATATCCTTCTTCAACCTTGATGCTGATATTTTAGAGCCAAAATCTCTTAATTTCACTATTGAATAATTCTAAAATTTTGTATAATTTTTAGAAGTCAAGTTAACTACTTGTATGCAAAATTTGAATTCAATCCATATTGCAAATTGATAAATATTTTAAAAATCCTCATTCATCTTCTAAATTCCAATTCTTAATACTTCAATATATTTGAGCTTCAATAAACTTTGAGTGAACTATTAGATCAAGCTCAAACCTGTATCACAATTTTTTTACAATAATAATCATTTAATCAAAAAATTTCATCCATAGATCAGCAACAAATTTCACACAATTGTCCAAAGTACTAACTCTTTAAATTCCTCAAAATCCAAAGTCACTTGAAAACAACCCTAACTTTGCAAAGCCTTTATAAAGTTATTCCATATTCAAATCACCTCAAATAAAATTTCAAAGAACTTTTTTCTTGACTACTCTCGAATTCCATACTTCAATTAACCAAAGAACCCTAGAATTGCCATAGGTGCATGATTTTGTACCTTAGGGTCTGATTTTGATCTTGGATCACAATTGGTCTTCTTTGAATATTAATTCTTCATATTTTGAAGTAATTTTCCTAAAACCTACTCTTAATTTTCTCCTAAATATGCCTTTATTAATTACTTATTTTATTTATTTTGATTTAGTTCATTTATGCCTTTAAAAAATAAATAGAAGTTTTTTATACAAAAAGATAGCATTAAAACTAAATTTTTTACTAATTTTTTATTATTTATTCTTATTTTTTTTACTATATCTTTTTACTAGGCTCTTCTATAATAAAATATTTTCTTTCTTCTTTCACCTAATTGCTGTATTACTATACAACAATGGATTGGACATGTTGGCAATTTGTACTACAAGTTGGCCAAATGGTACACATATAAAAAAACTTGTTTTGGAAGTTAGACATGTGTTGGAGATCCTATAGAACATTGCTACGTAGCTCCTAGTTAGATAATATATATGGAGGCAAGAGTGAAGCCTTCTTTATTTTTATCAATGCCTTTCTTGTTCTTAGTCTTAATCAAGAATCTTTAGTCTTCTTGTCTTTGATAATAATCATTTTAGTTCTACTACTATATTACTTTTTAACTGAGTATCTATTATTTTGAGTTATACAAGAATGTATTGAAGTTTTTATTGTTTGTGATTATTATCCTTGACACAAGGCTATTCTTATTTAATAATATCAATTTATAATGTAAAAATGTAGTACAAATATACTAAGACTAGTTTTGTAAAATAACATCCATTTATTATTTAAACATATATCTCAATAAATAATAGAATTTTCTTTCTTAAAAAAAATAACATCTATATTTATTTAATAATACTACATCTATTAAAAATAAGCAATATGTATACTTTAATAAAATTATATTGTAAAAAATATTAAATCATATTAACTTAATAATATATAAAATATTAATATTTAATAAAAAATAAAAATCTTAACAATTATAATTAATAAAGAAAATATTATTGGAAATTTTATAATAATTTAAGATTTAAAATCTATCCCACAGTAATAACTACAACTTTGTGATTAATTTTTAAAGGTGTTAATTTAAAAATATATAAAAGATAATATATTTGTTTATCACAAAGAAAAGTAATAAATAAGAAAGAAATGAAATAATTATAAGATAGTAAAGAGCTAAAATAGCTAATGCTAATTATATAAAAATTAGAGATTTATTTCTATATATTTAAACAAATATATTTAAACAAGTATTTAAACAAATATATTTAAACAAGTATTTAAATAATATATTTAAACAATATATTTAAAATATATATTTAAACAAATATATTTAAACATATAGAAATGTATTATACTAATAGATTTTGATATTTTGCAATATAGATTTTAATCCTTTTAATAATATAATTTTAGAATTTCATAAGGTTTTATAAAATATAGAATTAAAGGAACTTGGTTTTTTTAGTTTATTAATTAGATTTAATGCACTACAAATCATCAATTAAAGTAATTTGTTGTACATTCCAATTGTAAGCAAATATTTCTTTGAAAAAAAAGATTCAAAATAAGTTTCAATTGAGAAAGATGTTGTTGGACTTATCATAAATTAGAATTTGTATTTTAAATGAATTGTAGCAATTTGTGGAAGATGAATTTTGGAATTTGAAATTTAAATGAGTAGGTGGTTTATGGTGATTTTTTAGTATGTTAGGCAGATGATTAGATTTGAGATTTTCAAATACATAATATATTGGTGAGGGCAAATAAAAAAAGATGGTTATCAATTCTTGCATAAAAAGAAAAAATTCAAGTATTGTGAGAATTAGCATAGTATATACAAAACATTTAGAAATGTTAGAATTAAGATCTAAAGAAGAATAAAAAATTATGTTTCTATAATACAAGAGTTAATAACTACACAAATATAAAATAATAGTTACCACTAACCAAAAAGATGAAAAAACAAGAATTGCCATCAATAAAAGAGTTTAAATAAAAGCAAGAAGAAGAAGCAACAAATAAAAATAGAAAAGAAAAATAAAATACAAATATAAGACATCTTAGAAAGGCAATAATCAAGGAGAATGAAGTATCAAAATAAATGAATTAAGAAAATAAGAAAAAAAGATTGCTTTGAAAATTCTCTTAAGGTTTGTCTATAACCTTTATCTACCAAAGCAATTACCTACTAAAACTAGGTAGGATCTAAAATTTTGATGGATCCAATAGAGAGGTGTGGTTTAAAATAAGATTATTTTTGGCCTTACAAAATAGAAATAGAAATGCTTCTAATGACTAGTCATGTGTAAATTAATAATTTTTTTAATATTTTAGAAATTTCAAAGTAAGAATTGTAAATAAATTTATTATAAAGTAAATTAATAAATTATAAAAATCTACTATTTTAAATAACTTTTATAATTATTAGTTAAGATTCTTTTGAGGATATATTAATATTTATTTATTTAATTTTACTTCTCATTCTACAACTTTGATTTTGATATTATATATTAAAATTTTAATTTAAGAACTTTAAAGAATTCATACAAGTATGTATAATCAAAAGAAAGTACTAAAATAATATTTTTGGTGCAAAATTTCTAGTATCTTAAAAATAAATAGTTTTTTTAACATAATCCATAATAAATATTAATGCTTACATAAACTAAGATCATTTTTACAATCAAAAGATGGAAACAATAAATAAAATAAAAAAATAAAAAAATAAAAAAATGAGAAATAAATTTCTTTTGTAGATATTTGAAGCACCAAATTGTGTCCATCCTTTGAATTCTGTTTTTTTAATTTAATCTTATAAGAGTGGAAGGTATTAAAACAAAGGAACTCCTATGTGGATACCTTTTTTTTTTTTTTTTTTTTTTTTTTTTTACTATGTGGACATTATTCCATGCTACACCAATAAAACACTACAACTTAGACACTAATGAGGAAGAAAGTTATAAAAACATTAACTACAACTACCCATAACATAGGAACATCAGCAACAAAGAAGCTAAACAAAGCAAATAAATAAAAGAGATGTCCACTTGGAAGAAAAAGGGAAGTTTGTTCTAAGTGAATACCCCACTTTATTTATTTACTTTGTTTGGCTTATGTGTTGCTAATATTCTTGTGTTGTGGGTTGTTGAAGTTTTTATATCTTTCCACATCATTACTGTCTAATTTGTAGTGTTTTAATCATTTGATTTTGTTTTTGTTTGTTTCAATTTGTTGTGGCACAAGTAGGTGTCCATGTTGTAAAAAGGGGATATTCACATAGTAAAAGGTGGTGTCGACCTAACAGTTCTCTAAAACAATTATCAAAAAACATATTCAAAATCAAATTAGAATCTATAGTTATTCAAATGATATTATTTCTAATTGAATACAAAAATTGCAATTATGCAATTGAAAAATCACAAATGAATACGACACTTTGTATTTCAGTACTTACAACTAGTCAAATAATAATAATAATAATAATAAATAATAATAAAAATAAAAAATAAAAAAATCTTCAACATGTTTGATGTATTTGACCATATAGTTGTTCTTTTTTTGAAGATTATAAATTTTTGCTACAAAATAAATATATGTAAATGCATTGGATTCAGGTGAATGGATGTGAACATTTCAATCAAAATTAGCAATTCTCTTCTAAATATTCTTACTAATAACAATAACTATAATTGTAAAAACACTGTTCTGTATACAACACAGTTTTTGACAATTCCAACATACATTGGTGCAGTCTTCATGTTAATACTTTTAGTCAAAGTAAAACATTCTTCAAAGCAAAATTCTATTACCTGTCCGTTATTTTGCTTTTAAATTTGCATTTTCAAAAAATGTCATATTCTGAAGATATTGTCATATCCAATTTACTTCAAATCATTGGTGGAAACATTGAAACAAACAAAAACAAAAACAAATGATTAAAAAAAGTGGTAGAAACAAAAACGCCCAATGTCTATGATGATAATGACCAACTAAGGGAGCCATGCGATTACGATTACATAAGCTAAGTGCTGCAACTTCGACTAGTTTGGTTAAGCAAAACAGAGACCAAGCTTCGAAGGCCCTCGGGATTGTGTGCCGAAATTGCATGAGAAATACAGAAAGATCAGAGTAGTGTAAAGTACAAAAAGACAAGTCGATGAGTACAGAGAACTATTGACACAGAAAATTCCAAACTACACAAATGAAAAATCAGAGAACCAGTGTACATCATCGAAGACAGTTCAGGCCTGTGGACGACCAGCCCTCAACAAAAAGGAAACTTATTAAGAATAAATTGCTTTTCATATAATTTCGGCAGTCAACACCGTATTGGTGTGAGATGTATGAGGAACCTGGCATCCTGAGACATTTCGCAGGACATTAAAAAACTGAGCCACCATAGACAATGGTGTCAGCGACTAGCCTGAGGTTATTGAGCAGAATCAAAGATAAGATACGAATACATTTGTTCACAAACCTTCCGAATTGGACCAATGCTACTCAAGTTACAAGCAAGTTTGCCGGCAATATACCAAAAAATCTTGACAGGATTCTAATATAACAGAACAGTGGCCTACTTTGTCCAGGTAGTGCAACATGGCTACCTTGAACTTGAAACATGCCCATGGCACAACCTAATTGGAACATTCAAAGTTGATTATGTTGAACTGTTTACTTGTACACGCAGGATGGACTAGAGAGACCCGCCCTTGTTCTCGTCCCCACCAAAATGTTTCCTGCAATAAGTGACCTCCATTTTTTCGTGTAGCCAACTCAGGAATCCGATCGCGCGCAGCATAATATGTACAAAGAGCCTTGTATCATCATCCCGAATCTCCAGAGTGAATGTGTGTCCATTTTCACAGCATCGTTAGACCATTCAAGTCGTCCATAGGGCAGTCCAGCCCCTGAAGGAAATCATCTGTCTGGAGCAATGGGTCTTCGAAATCAAGGAATGAGGCAAAATCCTGAGGACCACCCAAATTGGCAGGAGTCATGTCTTCCATCCCTGGAAGAGCTAATCCTGACAAATCAATCATCCCTTCTGAGTCGTTCTGAGACTCCTCCAGTACTTCCAGTGTTTGCCCCACTTCTTCCCTTGGTGTAGTAAAACCTGAACTAAAAGGCCTTTTCATTGAATTGTCGTGAGAATGGGGCTTGGGTATAGAATTTTTCGACGATTTTAGAAGAGACCCAGTCTTTTGCCGAGGTCTTGTCTTAGTTTTACGCTCACCCTTTATATTCCCTAGGCCAGACTTGAAGTTTTTACCTTCTTTTCCAGCTCCCGTAATGCGCATTTCTTTACCTTGATCATCCTTCCCATCCCAATCGTGTCCACCCAAATCGTTGATGCTTAGGGAGTTCAAACCGCGAATACCTATAGGCCTGTCTAAATCTTCAACCAAAGCTTCTCGCTCCTTGGCACGTAGAGGCCAATTCTCACTCTTGTAGTTATCCGAGTCCTTACACGATAAGAGTCCATCCACGGAGATTCTCTCTGATCCTTCAAATCGTCGTGAAGTAGAATTTCCTATTGCAAGGAAAGTTGCAAACCCGTTAAAAGTTCAAAATTGAAAAAATCACATATTACACAGAACGCAGAATCATCATACTCAAGTCCTGAATCCATTTAATCAGAAATGCATCCCAGGACCAAAAACCCGAGAATGACAACTCAAAAAACCCTAATGTTCTGAACAATTAAGTATACAACACTAACTTTTAAATATATAAAAATCTTATTGAGTTTTCTGTTGCGAATAATAAATAATAGAAAAGAAAAAGAAATTTAAACGTCTTTACAAAACGCAATGTCCAAAGGTTGGTGTTTGAACTAATTGAGAAATGTACTCAATGTCCAAAGTTTGATGTACAACACTACAAATTCCCATAATGGATAGACAACTCAAAGAACCCAATTGTCGTCACTATCGATTATGACTTGGCAACCCAAAGAAGTACAGAATCTTTTAAGAACACAACGAACAAGGAGCATACACGCAAGAAACATCTAAGCGAGGGTCGTGCGACATTAAATCGATCACAAAGCATAAAGCTGTGCACATACCTGCAGATTTTAGGAGTGGATCAGGGTATGAAATGTTCCGGTCAGTGACGGTTCCAAGCACACAAGCCTCATTCTCTTCTTCGGCGGTAGTAACGGAAGTTGGTGCTCCTACGTCGGGAGAAACACGGAAGAGAAGCTTTTGCAGCGAGCCAGATATGCAGCTGTGCCCAGTATCAAACCTTTGAACTTTCGCCAGAACCCGTTTAGCAAACAGGAGAGCAGCTGCCCTTGCGCCTTTTGCTGCTGCTCCCTTTATGCACCGCCCTCCCTGAAAGGTGAAAATCATACATCAAAATGAGTACGTATCAATGCCGACGCAGAGATAGCACAGGCTTAGTGTTGCAACACTTCACACATAACTCGAGACTACATGAAAATGAAACGTTTAGTCCAAGTTAATACAAATGTCAGCTCTACTCTATATGGAAATTAAAATTGAGCATATTCTAAATTCACCATAGCTAAGAAAGGAACTGTTTTTATTTAAGAAAACGACTTCCGAAACCACGTGGCAAAAATACTAGTACTTATTTCTGCAAACAGCAGGCAATATTTCAGTTCTTGTTGACAAGAAATGCCGAGGTGATCGTAAAATTTAAATGAATCCATATTCTATTAGTGACTGCAAATGTCCTCCTCTTATGGAGATTATCAACGCTTACCATTCGTTTTTTGTAAGCCATTTCGACTAATAAGTTCATTGCAAGTTGCTCCCGAGCCCTGCACATCAATTTATAGAGTCAATTTCGTGGATATTGCTAATCAATAAGTTCCTAAGCGGAAAAAGACAGCTGTACACTTGACTTCAGCAGAGAACTAAGCTAAGATATTCCCCAAGTACAAACGGTAGTCAAAACAATGATAAACTCATGATTTTCGAAAAAGGAGCCAAGAGAAGATCTTAGAGAATTGTTTGGAGTAGTAAATACCTATCTTCAGCATTCCTACTAGCTAAAACTGCGTTTTCCAGCTTCGATATACGCTCTTTATTCAAGCATACCTGTATGCAGCACAAATTCGTCATTTTAGTAACTGACTTGTAAAAAGAACTCTTCAGAGATAACATGAATTGCCTACACCACTTCCAACATTGTCAATTTATCCTTTTATTACTTAGAAAACTGACCTCCTCACTGAGTAGACTACGAAGTCTTGTGATCTCTTCACTAATTTCGTCCTCTTCTTCCACTGAGGAATCAGGCTGCTGCAACCCAACGGAACAAGACAGTCAGTTTAACGAGCATTGCAACTACTTCAATTGTGATCTTCCATCTGTACTTTGTCCCAATAGAACGAAAGAGGCAGTACGAGCAAAAGCTAACAATTGAGTTCAACAATAATACTAATAAACTCACCGTTTGTTCAGGATATAACCCAATGCTGCGCAGCTCCGTCCATAACCTATCATCAAGACTCATCTGACGATACTGTTCTCCCCAGTCTGATAATTCACTGGAACTCAGCTGTTTCTCTTTATCATACACACGATGTTGACTACCACATGATGATGGATTTTCCCAATGTGCTCGTTCGGTTGCTCCAAAGCAACTTCCATTTGTTCTCATACCATCACAGGCAGACTCGCCCTCAGGATCCCTCGTCTCATAGGTTGATCCGTTGCAATCAACTGATGGTAAGCCTGAACCGAAGCCATGACTTTGAAAAGCGTCGTCGCCAACTTGCTGAACACAAGTTGCCTCGTCTACATCGATAATAGCAGACAATAGACGTTGTGAAAGAGGGATGGTCTTATCAGAACTAGCTACACACACATCCATCCTGAAATCGGTGGAAACCTTGCTTAATTCTTCCGAGTTCAAGCAACTCATCAAAGCGGTTCCATCGATGTCAGTGATGTCACTGTTCAAGCTCGTATCAGAAAATTGAGTTTGCTTGTTGGTCCTACTAACTTGTGACCCATCCATCTGTAATGAACACCAAGAAACTATGTTACCATGTTGAAAGACGTGGAATGAGGCCACGTTCCATTTGCAATCATTATCAGTTCATTTCCTAAACAAAACAATCTTTAGGCCACCCATTCATTAAGTACAATGTGACAAAACAACCTATTGTCTCCTGCCGATGAACTCTGTCATAACGTCTAGATTCTACAAAAGACAATTTTTATTCAGGCTATATCCTTGGTCGAAACAGGAAAATGGTCAAACTACAACCAAAAGTAATTGGTAGTGATTGGTACCCCTATCTTGCTAAATAATCTAAAGTTCAAAAAATTGAAGATTGTTGTACTGAAATTAAGTTTTGAGGCAATCCAACTAGTAGAGGAAAAAACCGATAATGTTCTTACTTGTTCATGTAGAAATGCCAGATCATCAGAAGTCACGTATGCGAAGTATGGCTCCAGTTGTCTCCACAAGTCATTTTTGCAAGCATTAGCTGCAAATGTAACATTTCAATCATAAGAATAGTAGATCACATTGACTAACAGCAATTACCATACTCATGCAGCCATTGTGGCCAAGATAATGCCAAAAAAAGCCACAATCCAAACGCTTATAACAGTAACAAAGACGCTCATACTCAAACGTAACAATTTGGTCAATAGTATTAACACCCAATATTTTACACCACCATCACGACCACAAATATCAACCTGAAAGTTCCCAACAAGTCGGTTGCTATTGAGGGGGAATATAGGACATACCACTAAAACCAACAGCTTGCTGTACTGCTTTCATAAGATGCTCAGAGTCGTCTTTGTCTCCTCCTTAACAAGAAAAAAGACCCAAAAAGAAAAGAACTTTTAGAAGCACATGTACAGGCGACAGACACAAACCACAACCCCAAGACGACTGCAAAAGGAGAAAAGGCCTCAAGAGGTGTGTGGTTATATCAAGCTTTCAGAAAATCAGTGCATACCTGACATCTTTGCAAGACCATTACCAACCACCCGCCGAGGTTTAGTTAAAGACTTGCGGAGGTCGGTATTTTTCTTAGTAGGTCGTCCAGGACTGCACAGCAATATAAATCCAGTCAGACCAGTAGCTGAATGCCCCCAGCAGCATGTACGTTTACAAGGGGTGTAAATGCAATTTTCTGTACCACATCCTAAAGCACAACAGCTGATAATAACGTCATAGATGACAGGAAAAAATTATACAAATACTTAGAACATGGATTACTCAGCCGCAGGATTTTAGGATATAACCTGCAACGTAATGAGCATATAAAAACTAGTGCATACGAAAACCATCTAAAATGAAGATGCAATTATGAAAATAACAAGACCAATAACCATGCATTACTGTGTCTATAGATTGAAAAAGCAGTACCCAACAGGCTTAGCATCCAATGTAGATCTTGTATATTTTGTAGGCTTTGCATCAACTGTAACATCTTCCAAGTTCTTTGCTGGCGACGACAAGGACAGTGGGCTTGGTATCACGGATCCTCTACCTGTACGCTCTTGTCGCCTCACCCCATCCCCTCCACCTATCTGCTCCTCTACGGTTGCATTGGTATTTTTGTCTGTAGCTGATAGAATTCCCATTCTTTGAATAGGACTTGCATCTTTTCGTTCTTTAATCTTTTCTTCTTTTTTCTTAACCTCTTTTAACCTCTGACCATCCCCAACTGAGTCTTCACTATTCGGGGGTCCAAGAGAGATATTTAGCCGATCATTTCCAACTTTGCTTTGTAGATGAGACTGTGTACTGGAGGGTCCAGCTCGCTTAGAAAGGTTTGAACCTGCAAGTGTACATGGAAAAGATCTAGAGGTGGGGCTAGAGGCAGTTTTACTTCCATCCCTGCTTGAAGTGGCCACTTCAACTACTCCACTAGTTTCCTCTTTGGACAAGACTGAAGCACTAGGTGGAGGATTCACCCGCCTAGTCACACGGGCCATCTTCTTGGACGTACCCCAAGATGCAACAGGAGGAGAAGATGACTGGAATAGTTCGAGTCTCTTGCTACTAGCATTTTCAGATGGAGTTTGAGATTTAACTGAGGCTTGAGATGATTTCACATCGTGACCTTCAGTTAGACATGAAGAGCGGCTAGAAGTTGTGGACTGATGGACAACACCAACAAGATTTGATCTTGGTGCTCTTGCTCCTTTGGCTTTGGTTGTAACGATAGGAATTGCAGCACCATCTTCTTCTCGAGAAGTTAATCTACAAACACCAATATATGTTGAGATTTAAAAGAAACTTAAACTCAGACTAGACAGCCACAGAAACTCCAGTAGGATGAAAAGGTACAATGTAACTATCCTCCCAACTCCGATATACAAATTCTGTCGAAAACGAAGAAATGAGACTGCGAATGCTTCAGACTGCCGATGATCTAGTCTCAATCAATCAAATGGAAAAGATAGAAACAACAGTAACTCGGATGCATACTTAGAACTAGCCTTCGCATTAGGAAAATTCCGATCATCTTTCTGCGCTGGGTGAATTCCACCATTGAAATCCAATTTACTTCCTCGTACGCCAGACCCGTGACCCTGAGAAGAGGAATGTACTTTCTGCATTGATGTAATGCCGTTCACAGGCCCTCCAGACCTGCACCCCCACAAGAATAACTCAGTGTCTTCTGTGGTACATCTTTCTGAAAGTTTTAGATGCAAAATAGTCTTTAGAAAGACATCCTCTACAGCCCCCAGATAAGAAATGGATAGGAATGTTCATAAATAAAAATTCCACGATTTTCGAGATTATAGCATGAATGAAACTCACCTGAATGCGTGGCCTTCACTAGGCCGAGGACGATTTTCAACACTGTAGCGGTACTGTTGCGCATTTCCTTTAAGCTTACGCTGTCCATCGAAAAACCCATTGGCAACGCTCACAGCCGATGTTTCCGGCTTACTGATAACCGACCGACGCCCTTTCAATGGCTTCGAATTTTCCCATCCGCCAGGGCTTGCAACAGCGGTTTTCTCTCTACGCTTGGATGGGGACATAAGAGAGCTACTTGGCCTAGGGGTTTCTCGCTCCCAATCCTTTGCCCCTGTTGGCCGCTGTAAGTTCAAGTTTCCTGATCGCCCTTCGAGCTGGAAAAAAGAAGAGAAAAGGGCAGAATAATTCTCTGTGAGTTCTCAATGACCCACACAATTCATCCAACCAAATGTCATAAAAAAAGGTTCAAATTTTTCATAAATGCGAAGTTCGTACCCGTGAATCACTCAAAGACGTGCGCATCTTCTTGTTAATGAGACCATTTTCGGTGGCATCAATTTCTTTTGGTGAAGGGTTCGTATCCACGTTGCTAGAGATAGCACGATGACCAGTCTTAGCACTGATTGGTGACGGTCTTGGTCTTTGAGCTGGCACTTGTGACAGCACCCGACCATTGACAGAAGATCCAGGTCTACTTCGTTTCCTTGTCTGCAGAAATCTGTCCAGCTTATTCACAGTCTCCGCAAAATGACCGGTTCGTTCCCTAGCAATTATCAGACGATGTATTTCAGACTGTGAGAACTGATGGGCATTGAAACAAAGACGATGTACGAAAACGAATTAAATTCGACCCTATTCAAAGCCAGTACCAAATTATTGCGACCAAATCATCCGTACTAAGGTTTTTTTTTTCTAAATACTCTCACAACTTTTTAGTTTCCCCAGATATTGATTCAAACGCCACATCTGACATGACGCTGCTGCTTGGAGATGTTAGCCTTATCAACAATACAGCACTAGGAACTCCTGAAAATTGTTACTCCTAACTCATGGAATGCAAGGAATGTAGATCTAGTTCTGAAACTTTTCAGGATTAAAGTACTTCAAGAATCTACTCCTCGACCACATGCGTACCTCGATCGTTGTGCATTCTCTTCGAGTCCACTTCTTACACGTTTTACATCCTCCGCACTGCAACTTTCTAGAGGCTTAGATTGCAACTTCCCAAGAGTAAAATCTTGGGTTTGAGAACCCGCTGCAGCGTTGATCACCCTTCGAAGCTCGAGCTGCCGAGTAGACTTTGCATCACTCAAACTAATGGAATCTATATTGAGGACAGTTGATAACGCGGGACGATCACCATGATGACTAGGCCCACCTCCAAATGCGTTGTTTGATACCTGCTGACATTCTCGACCTTCTCGAAAGGACTTAGATTTCTCTAAACTAGCTTTTGAACTGCGACTAGACGATCCCCCTACTCCTAGCAGACCTCCATCAGAATTGCTCAAGCTCGTTGTATCCAATCTACGTATAGACGCCATTGCTCCCAAAGAAGGCACCAGGACGGTGCCACAAGCTTAACTAAGTCATTCCCTAATACTTAACATCACGGCTTATGAGGTAATCTTCCTCAGTCCAAAAACTCTCTGCTAGTTACTTATGTCGTGCATACACAGAAGCTACGCACACCAGCCAAACTGTGTACACATGAACTACTTTGAATCAACCTCCTTCATGAAACCGAAACAATCTGCAAGTGCCTGCATAATCCCCAAGGTACTCATTAAAATGTTCACCTTTAGAACATTCCGAAAACCGAAAACGCCGGAATGAGCAACCACGTCAATGAACCCTCAACTGTAAGGCAGAAGATGATCTGGAAACTATAAACAGTCCAAGGAAGTATAATTGAACACATCAAGCCTCCAACATCAGACGCATGTACTTCAAACAAACCAAATCAGGCGACTCGCAAGAGTATCCCATCAATTCACCCCGCGAACATGGTAATTAAGCAATAATACATCTTGGGCTCAAGTTTACTCCATCTGACTTCCACCAGTTTGGGAGGGGGGACAAACTTTTAACGAAACTCTAGGGTTTCAAGTAGACCTTTCCATACAGTGACAACATTTAATCTCGCCATCTCATTCAGATGTTCAAGTGCGTAACTATAGAATTTCAGTTCTCATTTCGAAACACCGCAACTGAGAGAAGAGCTTACTCATTCGCCCAATTGAAATACAAGATGAGAATATTAAACCTTCACATAATGAATCTTCTGTTAATTGTATATTTTCAAACGTAAAGGCTGGCCACCTCACGAAAAGACACGAACCCGAAATGATAGTGTAACAAACAGGAGCTCTACATAAGTCACCAACTACAGCTTCAGACTAAGCTCACCCTAGAACAAAGCCCTGATGCGGCTTGGTAACCATCGTGACACGCTAGCTATTCAAGAAATGCCAAAATCATCTAGGGTTTTGAACCATCAAGATTAGGCAGCCTGCAGACCAGCTAGGACCGATATCCTAGCTTCTTAAGACTATAACAAAGTAAACTGGTCCTTCCATTCCTAAAGATGGTTCCCCTATTTTGCCACAGCACCTCATCAGGATTGTATCTACATTGCATGTTTGAGATCACGAAGAGCAACCACATAAAAAGTCGAGAATCGAAGTATAAAAAATGGCATTTAATTCTGCGCAGATATATAAACCCTCAAACTTTCAAACCCTCAAACTTTCAAACCCTCAAACCCTCAAAAAATCTAACACGAATCCGACATGAACAGCTACATATTTCTTTTATCAATTGCCAGCTGAGGGAATACCATAACGAACTAACAACACGATGTAGTTCACCTTAAATACAAACCCCCTTCATCTACCCGCTGCAATTGCATCAAAATCCAAACCCAATCCATATCAATACAGCAAACCCCAATTCACCACTTTCTAAGAAACGAACCAGGATTGATGAGCTCCATCACAGCCATAAACCCCCCGCAAGAAACAGATAAGAATCCTTCTTACAAAGCACGAAAACCTTTCTGCATGCTTGAATACCAAGCCAATTCTCAAAACGCAACACAAACTGATGGTCCCTGAATCAAACCCAGAAAATAGCCACTCGCCCTCTTCTCTACCCCCCTCCCCAACAAAAATAAAAATTAACAATAAAAATAAAAGGGTAAAAGGGAAAAAAAAATTTGGGCGAAAATACTGACAATCGAGATAGAACCCACCAACAAGATCGGCGAACATACCCGATTCGAGCATCCAGGCAGCGCAGCTACATCCGAGTCCCAACAGCAGGGGAATAATAATCTCGGTTCTGCCGTGAACATGCTCACTTCTCTTTCTCAAAGACCATCTTCACCGACGCGGGGGCCCCCCCCCCCCCCCCCCCCCCTCAACCCAGCTCAAGAGAGTCTGTTTGGCTACTTCGCCTCGTTCTCCTCAACCTGGCATGGGAACGCGGCTGGGAACGAGACCTCGAGAACCGTTGGCCCTTGCGCACTGGCCTCATATCTTCTCTCCACCTCCCCGACATTCATCCATGTTTATTCATCCTTTTCATCCTTTATTCATCCATCTCCGCTCTTTGAAACCCCTTAGCTTAGCTTTGCACCCCTAGACTGGGCTTGGTCGTTTTGTTTCTAATTACATCGCCGTCCCACTCCAAGCTTTCTTCTTTTTGCAGTTTTTTGTATGTTTATATGTTATATGTTATAAGTTGTGTGTTATTACACTATTTTTTGTTTAATTATCAGTACTTTAGGATTAAAATTTTATATACACACATATTCCATTCGTAGAATATGTACATGACATTGATTGTGTGGAGTATTGTAATTGGATGTTTTTGTGTCTGAATCGTAGGGAAAATCGTGTTTTCCCCATTCAATGCTCACTACCATGTATAAAAAGAATTATTTATATATATATATATATATATAGATATTTTTTGAAGTGACAATATGTAGACTTTTAATTGGATCGCATAGAAATAAATAGTTTTAATGACTGAATGAATACTGAGATTGTTAGTATTACATCTGCTTATTGATGTGTGTTGAATTTTTTTAGTTTCTCTTTATCTTGAAGTTTCGTTGTAAAATAGCAACTTTAAACATGATGTGAAATTTAGTTTGGTCGATTAAATGCGGGGATTGTAACTAAAACCGATGGAGGACAAGTTGGGTGATTCTAAAGTTGTTTCGTTTTATATCAGTGTATTAACATACAAGAGCATACATACTAATACTAGTTTGGATCCAATCAAAATTTTGCGCAAATCAACAGACTGTTTTCGTAGTAAACTTACACTAGTGTCGAAGTAGAAAAGTGGTAAAACGTTTTAAATTAGAATGAAAGATCACCGAAGCAGTAAACTATATTGTGCAAGCAACAACACGTAATACAGAACCAAAGTCTGAATCGTATATTCGAGGCTGTTATTTCAGAATTGGTGCTCACCGACACATCACGGCTTCCCAACGATTGGGAAGTTGTCGGGTTCACTGACACCGCAGGAGTTCGATGTGGGACTCGTTCAAAGCAGGGCGATGCGAGACGATGAGTGTGTTGTTGCCGCATCCACCGCGTTGAAAGGGTCGACGTCGAACCCCCACGAATAACGGAACAAACAACTCAGCGTAGTTTGGATTTGTCGATACATCCATGTTCGAGGAGTGTCGGCCGGAGCCTGGATCAGATGGAACCAGCGATGGCTGGCCTCCTCGGGCGAACACTCGTCGACTAAAACCAGTGTGAAGCAATCTTTTCGTTGATGGACTGGTCCTCTTTACATGCTCCATGTGATGAATAGGCATCTAGAAACTGGGACACTGCCACTCCGCTTCTATCCATGTTAGTCCATGTGAAAGTAGTCTCGGTCCTGTGAGTCATACTGTTCATTGTGGTGGTGTGTAATTGTGTATGTGCGTGAACCAGCACGAACTGAATGCATGTTGAAGCAGACATCACGGAGGGGCAGCATCGAGGGGAGGAAATCGAATGGATTCTGACGCAGGACAAGGCTGGTATAGGTGTGGACGACGCCGCACGCGTGGGTGGCTGAGCGTGGAGATACTGCGGTGCTCCACACAATGGCCCCCTGCATCCACGGGTCAAGGCCATTGATTATCCTGATCTGCTTTCTTGGCTCGTGTTGGCTTTTTAACATGGGTCAAAGGAGAGCATTTGGGGTCGGTTGTTGAAGGGGAAGACATGCAGGCTTGGACCTCAAGCCGAATCTATGCGCGAGCGTAAGGAAAGACTAAAGTTGACAAAGACCGAAGATGATGGGAAAAAAGTTTTCCACGAAGGTCAGCGCTGAGGAATTCAACCGGAGATCAGAGGTTCTTAGTTTCGAATAGCAGTGTATGCTGAAATTGCGTGAACAGTGGGTTGGTGCATTGGACTTAGTAAAAATGTCCCACATTGAATGCCATAAGCGAGCCCTAGCATGGAAACAATCTTCAAAATAAATGATTTATTGTCTGTTTTAACTCGATTGAGCGGCAGACAAAGTTCGCAGGTCAGGGAACAGAACAGCTGAAAATAGAACTGAAATGATGGTTTCAAGAAAATGGACACCTCCTCCGTTTCGAATGCAATGGCAATTAAGGACATGCGAGACGAGGGGGGATTAGAGAACAGATAAACCAAGAAAAACCTCATCAGTGTAAACGATCGAAAAATGGCCAGAAAGTTGTTCTGTAATATGTGAAATTCAGACGATTGTCGAGGCTAGACACAAAGTAGGGTAACATTATCCTGACCCCCGCCAGAGCAAGAAAAGAACATTTTGAACGAGAACATCATTGAAGTTGATAGGAGGCATGGGATAAGGCTTACGAGGGCGAAAGTGAAGAAAGACTGCGCGGTTCTTTACCATGGCAATCGTCAATATAATAGTACAAGGCTACCTGTGCATGGAGTCATTATTCCGAAGTTTTAGTCAAGGTTAAGAGTGGGGGAAACGTCTTCGCGTAGTCCAGCCCTTTAAAATAGAAGAGCTAGGGGTCATCAAGAGCAGCAACGTTGGATTCCCCTTCAAGAAAAAGGAACAAAAATAGACATAGAAACCTCGAAAAGGATATCCGTGATGGGAAGGAAATCATCGACTCTATGATCTTTTTACAAGTTCTACAAGCTCTCTACTCAATTAAGCTTGCACAAGTTGTGGCCCTGCACTCAACGTCGCAGGTGGCACTTTAGGTGGTGCCTTCGACTTGATGATTGTCATCTCAGAGTCTGAATCTGAGTCTGAGCCTACAACATCTACATCTGAGTCTAAATCAATTTCCTCGTCGCCAGACTCTTCACTTGAGAATAGATCATACCGTGAACTAAATGTCCTTGTAGCAGACAGCGGAGGGCGAATTGATGGCGTGGGACCAGGGGAAGGGGTTGGAGTTTTACTCGGTGATGATGTCAACGGAACTTTTGTTGATGGTGGCGTGATTTGCAACTGCGGAGCATCAGGTTGGAATTTTTTAAGGGGTGAACTATCCTCCATAAAGCTCTTCATCTTCTCTGCGACATGAGTTAATTGCTCCTCAGTTGTCGCCTTGAGCAAATTTGTTACTTCTGCTGAGCGAGCCTTCGTTTCCCCAGCTGCAGAAATAGACTCACACAAAGCTTCCAAATTTAAAACCTTTTCCTTCGTAGATAACTGTTTCTCAGGCTCATGTGCGGCATGCTCAATTTCCTCAGAGACAATGGAATCAGGTTGCTGATCAGCTGAGACGCCACGGTTTGTGATACTCGGTCTCTCGTGATCCCAAAGGGTAGTGACAGTCCCCAGTTCCGTGTCAGGGCTCAATGGTCCATGGTCAGTCGTCTTCGGTGGTAAGATGATCGGTCGGATAGGATTCAATGCAGCTGGAAGAGAGATCGCATGGGTTAAGTGCCGAGATGGGACCTCTTCTGGTGGTTCATCTAATGGAGGAAGGACTTCGTGAGCTGGGGCCTGTTCTTCACTCTCATGGTCTGCAAGACTTCCCCGAACTGGAAGCGACAATGACCTCTGCACAACGTGTGATGGCTCTACGGCAACGTCTGTAGGAGCAGCAAGCACCTCCGAGTTCTGGGAATCAGCAGGCACCTCTGGCTCCTCGATGTCAACGGCGGGAGTTGTGGAAGCTTCGAAAGCAACAAGTTTCTCATGACTAGCAGTAACATCTTCAGATGAGATGGCATGAAGCTCCGCATTCTCAGTATTCTCCAATAGTGAGATATCCTCCAGCTCAGGCACATCAGACAGCTCCATGTCCTCCTTAGGTTGAGAGCTTTCGCAGTGAGCCTCTGCGGGAATAGTCCGCTTTTCGTCAACTGTCTCAGTGGAAATTGAATGGTCTTCAGAGACATGGTTAGCAGGTGAAGCAGTATTTTCTTCCGCAGCTTCTGCAGCAATCGGCGTGGAAGCAATTACCAACGACTCGTCAATGTCACGGCTTAGGGTTTCATCAAGCAGTGATGGAAGGAATGCCTCCGTGGTTCCATTCTCTTGATGAATCGCTGCAATACTGCTGCTTCCTTTGTCACTCTCACCAGAGGAAAGCAATGAACGTTCCTCTGATTGTACTGAGGAGGCAGGCGGATGGTCGTGAATCCCGTTGGCCACCAGTAATTCCTCTTGCGGGACAAAGTCTCCATCCAGCGATCTCTCTCCCACTTCTTCAACCTCTCCAACTTCGAGATGCATATGGTCATCGTGATCACAGTGATGATGGTCGTCCTCGTCGTCACTGTACATATCATCTTCAAGAGACTTGAAAAGAGGAGCAGTGATTGACGCAGGGCCGGTTATCAGTGGCGGCATGTCGTAATCGATAGGAGGAGGTTGAAAATTTTCAAACAGAGAAGCATCAGAGTCATGTCTTCTGGAGAAGCTTGGGTGAGGTGAAAAAATATTGTGGGAAATATCGCGAGTGTTAGACCCTCCAAAGGAAAGAGGCCTCTCATAGCTCCTCTCAGATTTCCAGGAATCAGAGGTTGACAACACAGGCGTGTCTTGGGGCCTTTCAAATGCAGCTGGCTCCTCGAAAACACTCTCGTCCTCATCAGGAATTCTCCTGGTAGCTAGTTTCTCCAGGACACGCGGCTTCTCCTCAGATCTATGCCCGTACCCTTCCTGTAGGATAGAAACATTGTCATCGTTCAACATTGACCTCTCAGTCTTCCAAGTTTCGTTTTGCAGCTTCTGCTCCACCCAAGCCAGCCCAGCCGCTTTACAAGAGTTCACCCAATCGCTCCAAGTAGAGCGAAAATCCTTGGTAGGTCTCTTGGTGACCTTAAAACCCCTCTCCCCATTCTCTTTCCTAAACCCCGCCCCATCCCCGGACTTCTCCTCCGAAGATATCAGAAAATCGCCCTCCTCATCCGAAGGCTCTTCGAATTGAGGTCCCATTGTCACTAACGCCACAAAAAACAAAGCTGTGGAGATAAACAGAGGCGAGAAGTACTTGAGAATTGGGAAAAACGGAGGTGTGAGAAATACTAATAGACTGCAAGAAACATACGGATGGCTCCAGATGAGAGTGCCAATCTCAGTAAATACGTGCAAGCCCATATTTTCAAGACTAAAAGACCTGCAAAAACTTTGAGAAGTTGAGATCTGTATAAATTTGAACTTCGCTGCAGTACTCTATTACCAACACGCAACCGAAAGCAAGGTTTCAGTGCAATGATGCTTGTTTCCAAAGGGCATGCCAGTCGAAATCTCACAGATCGCACGATCTGCTTGGCCAAGGATGAAACCTAGTTCCTTTCATAGCATATCAATGTTCATCATGTGTTCCGTTATGAAGCTTCCATTGACAGGGGCTTCACAGAAGGGGTAATGAGCAATACTACTCATAACCCTGGGTTTAAAATGAGCATGTGCATTATTCTCCTCTCTGTTGATTCAAAATATGAAGATGTCAGTCCAAAATATAAGAAATAATTGACAACTCTGTCTTCTGTAAAATTTATAAGACCCACCAAATTCTGTGAGCGATACAGAATGAACACGGTAGGTAGTTGACCCATTTGAACAATGCAAAACTAACTCGTGACTACAAAATGGTTCTAAGGCTCGTTGCAGTTACAAGCTACATCGCGACTGCAATATGACTTCTTGTTTCGAAAACTATGGTCCCTTGCTTGAAACTTTTCAAAACAGAACTGACCATTACAACCTCGAAATAACCATAGAAGAAATGAGAATATAAGATCAAGAGAATTCTTTTTCACAATTTAGGACTTCATTACAATACAGAACCACGTAGAGATGCCGAAAACAAAAGGATTCGTTTCCAATATCGACGAGGAATCTATTTCCGATCACAACTGTTCCAGACTTAAAACTCCAGCGTAGTAAAAATGAAGCTCAGCAGGAAACACCAACTCTACTACGAAATTCACCTGAGCTGCTGGCGACAGAGATGGTAGAAATTGAGCTGCAAGCCTATACAACACGAAAATTCGCCTGGAAGCTGCTTCTTTCCTGCCGTTACGATTCTAGTAGTGTGTGGCTGTGGCGCGACCCTTGTTCAATCGACCGGTGCATACGCAACTGGTTATTCACAGCAGCAGAGCTTTCCAACTTTAGCGCCAATCGAATGATGCATCAACGACTGCACTGCAATCAGACAACGTATAAGTAAAGAGCTTGCTATGCTCTGCTAAAATTTTAGACTGCACACTTGACTAAAACTTCAAAGAAAAATTGCAACTAAAATCAAAATATGAGGACTCTTCCTAACACAAGACAAAACTGCAATATAAATAATTCACATTGTCAACCATATCAAGCTGGATTTCTGGGGATTGCCCCAAGCATAATATATTTCAATGGATCGCAGTTTATAACTTTCCACATTGTGATTTCACTCTAAGATTGTAGACGTAAAGGTTACCGTTTCACCGAAGACTCTGAATTACATTTGTTTTCACTAGTACAAAACATCTTTACATCCGGTGCACTTCTATCTTAATATTCCTCTATTCCTGTTAAAATACTTCAACAAGAGAAACTCTCGAAATTCTTTTTATCAAAATACATAGACGCTCAGTTCTTTAGAAATATAACCCAAAAAATAAAATAAAAACAGAAGCTTGCACACATCAACAAGAACGACTTTTGTCACCGTGCAACAGAGAACAAATTGCGACACAAATCTACGTTAACAGGATTCATCACACTAGACTAAACAAAGCCTCTCACCCTGCTCACTGCTGCCAACCATCACATTGTAGAGAAACATTTTCTCACACTAGACTAAGCAAAGCCTCTCACTCCTGCTTGGAATCACCAGTACTGCAAGAATTTACTGCCAGAACATTATCTCATCAGACGTCCAAAGTACTATCTTCATTTAAAAGTAGTTGGGGTTCAAAGCAACTTAAGACAAGGGCAGAGGGCTTCAAACAGCGGGAAAAATAACCTGGAAGTCCTAACTTTGGACTGTTCACGTTCTGTACTACTTCACAAAAATTAAGAAAAAGCATGCGCTCTACCATTCATCGCCACTACCAAAAACGTGTCACCAAGGACTAGACTGCGATTGCAGTGCGAACGGCTCATTCAAGAGCTTGGAAGAAGGGAAGAGGAAGCCACTGAAGTTGGGCAAGCCAATGAGATATCTTAAAAGAATGCCTCGACAGAGTTCTGAACTGAGGAATCCTGAACAGATGACTAGCATTACGGAGACCTGTACGAAGCAAATGGACACAAAGAAAATTTCCTCAAGGCTCCACCACTAAAGCAGTAAGATCCAGCCGGCCGGGTCACAGAATCCTGGGTCTTGACTAGCTCTGTACCCGAAACTTCGCACGGAGAACTGTAGAACCCAGAAATAGGTTGTAATTGAGAACAAGACAGCACGGAACAGAAACCGAGGACGAAGAAGCTAAGGATTAATTTGAAGCTGTCGGTTCTAGCCACGACCAGATTCGAAAAACGACCCCATGAAGACTCGACATAGCCGACGACTTCAATTAAAGACTTTATCAAAGCTGTAACTTGAAACGTCATAAATTACCTCTTCAGAAGCCTAAGCTTTCAAAGAGGAATCCCCCGGACTCAAACATCCATGAGCAGACGATGAGTTCCTCCGACGGCACTACAGTGACATTAATCCAGAGAAGCACCACAATTGGTAAGGACATTCAAAAAAAAAAGTATACGGATGGTTTTCAAAGCTGGAAAAGGTTCGGAAAATCTCTTCTCGCATTCCTCAAGGTTGAGTTGCGGCGCTTGATTAATTCTTCAGGTAAGTCTGACGTAAAAGGTGTACAAAAATTGTTTGAACACAGCCTCAAGCGTCTGAGATAAACATGCAGTTCAATAGCGTATCGAGTGGTTCTACGGTGAATTTTCTTCGTAAGGGCCGGCACGTTTGAGATGCAACAGACTGGACGTGAAACTCAGGCTATCATACACGATTGGGAGGTCTGCGAAACTGATGAGGAGGGGGAGGAGCAAACTGATGTTGAACTCGGCATGTCCTAACCACCTGCAGACTAAGCGATACACGATGAAAGAACAACGACCCCTAGCACAAGAATCAGGCAACGCACCCTTGCCACCACGAACGCCTCCTCAAACAAATGCCGTCCTCCCTCTATCCCCCCTCCTCACAACATCTCATCACGCACAACTCCGAGTACGGAATCAAACTGATCCTCGATTTAAACCGTCACAATACACTACACGTACCGACATTACAGCTGCCCAAATGCTCCGAAATTTCTCTTGAAAGCAAACATTCCAACTCTGAAAACCCACACCCAAAAACTGATCTCAACTGCACTGAGCTCTAAAATTCAATCTAATCGCAATGCAACACAACCATCCTTACTGGATCTCAGGTGCT